GGCCGGGCGGTTTTTCAAACTCATTTTTGTAAAGTTTATCATATGGAAGAGAATCAAATTCTTCTTAAAATGTTGTTGATAAAAAAATATTAACATTCTTCTTCTCTATAAATAAAAATATTTTTTTCAATATCTAATCTAATTTTTTTACCTTACAACTTACTAACTCTTTGACCTTCAAAGCTTATACAAAATCCCTCTACAATATTATATATATATATATATATATATATATATATACACACACACAATGGTACCTTCCATAATCAATAACCTTGATAGGTGGAAATTTTATAAATTACATAAGGTTTTATTGTCTCTGTGGAGTCATGTAATTTTAGATTTTATTATTGTCTTCTTTCAACTAAATCGTTTTTTTCTTCTTTTTCCTTCACTGCTTGTATCATAACTAAAAAAATTATAAACCTACTAAGAATCAAAGGATAGGAAAGAAAATGTGACATGGTGCAAGTCTTTAATGGAGTATACATTTACAATGATAAGTCAAAAGAAGAAGGATGCAACTATAGACATAGCTAGCACAAATTTAAATTGGAAAGCAAACTCCAATCTAAGAAGCTCAAGGTAAGGGTTCTAGGTCTCAATTTTTTTGGTTTTGCAAGCGTGTATGCATAATTGACAAACAATTGATACTAATGCTCAATTATTTTTCTTAGAGTATTTTTTATGTCAAAATGTGATAAACGTGCAATGGCTAAAAATTTGCAAAAAATAAAATAAAAATTCACAATTAATACAAGAAATGCTTGCAAAGTAGGTTAAAGAGTAGTTTGGCCGTGTAAAAGCTCTCTCATAAGGAACAATTTTGAACATCTTATCTGATCATGAACTTGCAAATTGTGTTTGTTATTGTGATGATAGTTGCATGAATATCAACTTGGCTTCATTTGTAAAAACATAGTGATTTTTTTTTTGTAAATATTTTAGAAGAAGACAAGCAATTTCTTTTGAATATTTGAATGGCTTGTATTAAAAATCAAAATAGTTTCCAAAATTTTTTTTGCACAAAGAAAGTAGAAATGTGGGTATAATAATGGAAGCAACTTTGTTACTTGAGTTAAAAGAGTTAATTGTACAGTATTATTAAGATGATATTTTCATTAAGATTATGCTGCAATATCATTAAGAGTATTTTGTTTTGTTTTTTTTTATTTATTTTTTTTTTTTGTAATAAAAGATTTTATTTACTTTAAATAAATTAAATTAGTAAAAATAATATATATATATATATATATATATATATATTTAAATGAAAGTAAAGAAAATCTTTTAGGAAAAAATCACCAAGAAAAATCTTAGTTTAGTACTTAGAAAGGACCAATTATAAATTGCAGTCAAAATCAAACTTTGAGGCAAAAAATTATGCATCTATGATAATTATATGATTTATTTTTATTTTTATTGGAGAATAGGATTGGAGATCAAACTTCTTAGGATTTTTATAATATTAAATTTGAGAGATTTGAGTAGATGATGACTGTGTGAGAGATTTAGAAGTCAAAATTGCTTTTGGTGACTTTGATATTTATAGAATATAAAATATATTATATTTTTTTTGAATTGTATGAGTTTTGTAGCACATCTACAAATGAATTCTGGATTTGCAAATGTAGTAGAGTTAAATTTTTTTTGTGAAGTTAAATTTAGTTGGACAATCAAATCAAAAGTGATTGAAGTTCAAGTGAATTAAGGTCTTAAAAATTGGATTTTGAAGGTTAGTGAAAGTTTTTATAATTTTTAGCAAGCTAACTATTGAATGATTTTTTTTTTTTTTTTTTTTTTTTTTTTGTGATAATAGTGGATTAAATTTTATATATATATATAAATTTTAAGAATAATTAAAATGTTCAAAAAACAATATTGATGCTAGTAGGTTATCACAAATATGTATATTTACTTAGATTAAAAGAGTTAAGTAAAATAAAATAGAAATAATTAAATTATTTAATGATATCTTGTGGAGATACTTCTTAGATGCTTCATAGATGTAGATTTTACTTTATATATTTATAAGTTATTGGTGGATTAAAAACTTAGGTAACAAGTCGGCCAAATATTGCATATGTTGACAACTTGTTGTACAAACAAACCATGTGGCATACATGTAGGAAACTTGTCTTGCAAGTTAGACATGTGTACCATAAGTTGGATGCGTATTGGAAGTCCTATAGATTGTTGTCATGTAGCTCTTAGCTAGATAATATATATAGAGGCAAGAATAAAGTATTTTTCACTCTTGTTAATACCTTTCATATCCTTAGTTTTGTTTCAAGAGTCTCTAAACTTTTTATATTTAATAATACTTATTTTAGTTTAATATTATACTATCTTTAAGTAATTATTTACTTCTTTTTAGTGACACAAGAATATAATGACGCTTTGGTTCTTTGTGATTCATGCCCTTGATAAAGGTTGGTATTAAAGTTGGAGAAAGATAACAACTAACACTTATGAATTAAGAATTATTTTTTTCAAATTGTAAATTTGATTAACTTTTTAATTTTGTATGCTTATAGTAATTTAATAGATTAAGAAGTCTAAAGAATTTAAATTAAGATGAAAAATTAGAATAATTATTATTAAATTTATAAATCTATTTTAAATTTTATTTATAGTTTGATTATGAATTATTATGATTTATTTGAAGTTTATTTAGTCTTTGAATTGGATTTATTGAGAATATTTTTATAATTTTTTAAAAATTTGGTTATGATTTCTTTAAGATTTTTTATGATTATATATATATATATATATATATATATATATATATATATAGTTAAATATTTTATTAAGATATATTTTGAATAAGCTACGATTCTTTTAAGAAATAATTAAAATTATTAAGAATTATTGAAAGTTTATTTGGAGTTGATTAAATTCTAAAAATATCTTTTTAGATTTTTTTTGAAATTAAAAAGGTATATTTAAAATAATTACAAGTTAACTTAAATTATTTAAAATTTCCAAAAAGGCATTTTTGCCACAAATATGATAACCTTAGTAAGATAAGAGGAATTATGTAGAAGTAAGTAGAAGTATGTAAATTTGATAATATCTTGTAGATAAGCTTTTTAAAAGCTTTTTAAATACAAATTTTTCTTTCTAAATTTTTGTAGGTGATTGATAGGTTAAAAACTTAGCCAAAGTACTAACCATGTATTGCACTTGATGACCATTTGTTATATAAGTTAGCCACATGTTATAAATATTGGTCACTTGTAAGACAAGTTGGTCATGTGGTATATATATTAGAAACTTGTCTTTTAAATTAGATATATATCTTATAATATTTAATATATATAGGATAATTTAGAGAATGTTGTTATGTAGCTCATTAGTTGGATAATATATTTGGAGGCAAAAGTGAGACTTTCATTACTCTTGTCAATACTTTTCTTTGTGTTTTTATTATAGTTTAAAAATCTCTAGTTTA